TAAAGTGACATATACTTTAAAATTTTGCAAACACGAATTGATTAGGCAATGTATTTCCTGGAAATAAAAGATAATGATCTCATTCACATCAATATTTAATGTCTACGTGAGATGTGATTGCACCCTAATTAAGATTTCAAAAATAAAATTAACCCACTCAAGAAGACCAAGAAAGAAACAATAAGTCTTCCCGAACCATCCGAGAAATGTGATGCAGAAGAAAACAAAGAAAAACAGAGAGAACAATAGACAAGTCTTCCCTAGTGCAATATTTTCTTTCTCAGACATAAGGATGTGTGAAATTAATGGTTTAATTGATGTGATTTAATGATTTTAATACGTGTGAATTGGAATAAGTTTCTAATGGGTGCAACGACTAAATGCAGTTTTTCAAATACAATATGTGCATATTAAATAGTCGTGATTTTTCTCATTGGGTGTGACTATTCAAGTACAAGAGGTGTATAATGAAAAACCCTGAATCCTTGTGTATGATGCAACTTAGACCATCACATCGTGGTGTGATCTAATTGTTCAAATGAATTTGTACCAAAAGATGCAATCGTTCCAAATAGACACAATAAAATCCATGAATTAAACCCTATTAATTTCATTTTCTTCTATCCAAATTAATTTCAAAATAATTGATTTCTAATGTACTCCTCTCCCTCCAAATTCTGTCATAGTAATTTTCTATTGTTATTAAGTTTCAATGTTCGATATTTTAGTATTCGATATCATTCAGTTCACAAGAGTACGATTAAGCTTTAGTTCGTCGAATATTATTAATATTGTGTTGTCTTACGAGACATTGTATTTTGAGATACCGGTGTCCTTTTGATTCTGATAACACGAGTGTAGTGTAGTGATACCTCATTTTATTTCATCTTCTTATAAATTCTTATTTTTCCTACATTTCTAGTAAATAGAAATTATGTCCAATTTCATTTTGCAAAATAATTGCTCGCACATTTTAGTGTCCGAGTATAAATTTTTGCACCATATTTTTCCAACAATGTATTTAGACAATTTCAAGAAAATGTAACTATAATGGACTGTGGGCCTGTGTCAACAAATTATGAAAGAGATGCATAGAAGAAGATATTGCATCAGCACAAAATTTTCCACATGTACAAAGTTGGTCTACACCGAATCATTTTCAAAACAGATTTTTTAATTATTTGAAATCAACGGTCTGGATTTTGCCAA